CTTACATACAAGACCAAGCTATTTTCCTTTATAAGTTATAAATGTTCCTCAAAGTTAGCTTGTATTTCACCTTAATGTTGCCCAATGCAACTCACAGTTAGTCTGAATTTCTTGATGAAACGCTCCAATATCCAAATGTTACACAACTTATGATGACAGTCACACATACACACAATGGTTTAGTCGTTATTCTTTGTCATCATTGTTTTATTTTAATTTACTAAGATGGAAATTTTATTTATATATTTCTTGTTTTGTTACTTTATTATAAAATTAGATATTTTTTATTGAAATAAACAATAGCAGTTTTTTAAATTAATCTCTATTTATTGCTTCTACTCCTTATTTATCCCAACATTACAATTCAGAGAGGAATTATGAGCATAAAAATATTTTTTTTATACTTGGATTATAGCAAAATATGTTTGTACTGCTTAGTGAAATATGACTTAAACTTTTTAAATAAAAACCTTTTTAATGTTTAGATTAAATTCTGAAGCAGTATAAGTTTTATTTGTTTCTGTTTTTATTCAATGACACATAGAGTTCTGTGATAAGATTGTTTATTGAGCTCATGAAATCAAGAAAACATTTATGTTGAGAAATGCAGACTTAATATAACTTCTAGATTAAAGTAATAAAAAACTAGAAGTAAAATTAAAGAATACAGACAAGGCAGTAGCAAATAAACATTAATAACTGAACAATTTCAGTACTGGGAGCACTGGTCTCTCCTCAGTGTATCTGTGACTGCAGACTGGGAGCCCTGGGTGGCCTCACAGGTCACAGAGCCCAACTTCCTCCACTGGTCTGCAGGGAGCCTCAGGGTGCTGATCCAGCTGTAGAGGCCATCTTTCTGCAGCTCTCCTCGGCTGTTGTTCTCCTCCCAATTGCTGCTGCTGCTGCTGCCGTCCACCTTCCAGGACAGACTCCAGTCTGAGGGGAAACCCTTGTTTGCCAGACACATGAGGGTGGCCTTCCCCTGCTGCAGCTCTTCACTGGAGGGGGGCAGCACTGTCACGATGGGACGTGTATTACCTGGGAGACACCAAGTTGATAAGAGAACAGAAACTACAGAGACTGACCCGCAGAAACTGTGACATGGTTACAGCTAGGAGGTGATTTCCTATAATACGACGTTTCTGCCAGATGTCTTCATGCTCCACTCCTCTCTCACAGACTTGTTGTTTCATTTCCCTTTAAGGGGTATAGATCCCCAAAGATAAAATTGTTTTTTATTTTCTATTTTAGTCTCGTTCTTTAATTTATTGAAGGAAATAAAAAAACAAAACGTATGCGTCTTATATTAAAAAGAAACAGTATTAATTTCTGAGGTGAAAAAGAAAATCCTTTTGGAGATTTGATTAAAGTTTTGAGTTTGAAATACTACAGAATCCACAGAGTGGTTTAAAGCTGGCAGCAAAGCATTGAACACATAAATAATAATGAATAAATAATAATAATGATAGATAAATTATCAAAGCACAGTCCCAGCATTTATCATTTAAAAATTTGAAAAAGTATAACATTTGAAAAAACATATCTGATATAATTTCACATGCATTACTTATTTTTATTTTGTGTGAATCTGTTTGTTCTAACAAAGTAGTTTATGCAAAATAAAAATTTCTGCTCTTTAAGGAAATAGAAAAACATTTGTAATGCTAACAAGATATTCTAGAAGTTGATATAAATTTTAAAGTAAACTTACTTCCAAACTCCAGTCTCGTTCCTCCACCAAACGTCCACCACAGTGATACAAACTCATTGAGCCGTCGTACAAAAACCTCTGACAGTAGAGACACGGCTTTCTGACTATGACTAGACTACACCTACAAGTTGAAAAAGAACAACTAAACTAATATTAATCACTTTTTTACTCTGAAGTTTTTAATACCTTATAATTTACAATATTTCGGTCTTATTTCAATTTAATCATACATCAACAGCATTGAAATTAATTACTAATATTTTTTTTGTGTGTCATTTTTTTAGGTATCTGAAAACATCCATGTGCATTACAACCAAAGTTGTTTTGGCAAACCCACTAAAATATTAGTATGATCATGTTGGTGTTTACGGTAAGATACATAAAACACCAGAGTTGAGGATTTGCCAAGAGGTTATCTTTATGAACCTGAGTACACTGATGAAGAACTTCATCAACTGGAAAATTACCTGTTAGAGAGAAGGGAGGGAAATAACAAGGACAGCAACTTAAAAGTGTTCAGCATCTTTATGCTTTGATTTGAATTTTACTGTTTAAAAAAGGTTCTTTGATTTTCTAGATTAGTATGCTGTGTGAATGTAATTCTCCAAGACTCTCCAGGGGAAACCTGCAGAATTTATTCCATGTTTCTCTTGAAACTTATCTGGTTACTTTTCAGTTTTAGGGTATTTAATCGAAAGTAAGTTGAAATAAAGTTTTCTATGCGCATCTTAGCTCAGGATTTTATTTTTTTAATTTTATTTCTGTAATATTGTTTGTAATAAGTTATATGACTGTAATTTGTGTTTTTTTTTGGAATGGTTGAGGACCTACTAGTGACTTTAGGAGAGCTACAGTATCACATGAAGAGGCAGGGATTACAGGGATTATAGGTCCTAGAGGGATTGTGTTTAATAATCTCTTTTCTTAATCAACTTTAACAGACTAAAGTGATACATTTCCGTTATCGCATAGCATTGCTTTGTTTGAAAAATTTGCAATCTTAAGCAAGTATTTGCATTATCTATTTCATATTTCTATATGCATTTGATGCGTTCAAGAAGTGTTCTAGATGCCAATACAGAATACAACACATAGATACTAAACATTTTTTGTTTCTTAATTGGCAGTAAAGATAAAGTACTAAAGCAAATTCTGCTGAATGGAGTTATCTTATTTGCTTGATAATAGTTCTGTCTCCCTTCTTTGTCTCTCTAGCAGCTACCAGTTACATCCCTTGCATCAGTTTCAGTTCAGTCTGACAAAGGGAAGTTTTTGTACGACAGCTTTTCACTGTGTGAACAGATACTGACTGTTGATGGAATGTCTACTCTGACAGTAGTAAACTGCAGCATCTTCAGCCTGAACTCCACTGATGGTCAGAGTGAAGTCAG